TCGAATACATGTCTTTGTGTCTCAGGTGTGACTAGGCATCTGGGGCAGAGGTTGTCTTTGTATAGATCTGGGTACCTCTCGTGTAGAACTTGTCTTGTAGGAAGAGTGCCGTTGAGTATTTTGCATCTAAATGCTAGCAGGGATGAACAGCTGAGCTTGTCCTTTTTGATGAGAGACTTGTTAGCTAGATAGAGTGTTTGGAGAGATTCCAAATCAGGTGCTTGGTTCCATCTTTCTTTAAGAGTTGAGCTATTGATGAGATCTGCCGTTCTGTATGTTTGTTGGACTCTTTTGATCCAATGTGTTGGATCCATGCTCCAAGTGCCTTTAATTCTTGGGCTAGTTATGTAGTTATCAACTGTTAGGATATTGTTAATAACTAATTTAAAAAATTATGATAAGAAAAGAATAAATATATATAACTATAGTTGATATTCTGATAAAATATTTTTTAATAAATGATTTTATGTTGAATAATTAATTTATTATTAATTATTTTATAGTGAAAAGATTTATTGAAAAATTTGAATAAATATTCAAAGTTAATTTAACCATTTCAATTGACTTATAAACAAAACTATAGTAAATCTTATTGTTATAATATAACCTTACCAGAAAACTTGCTAAGTTAGACTTGTAAATTAGAGGACAAAGAGCAAAAAATATAACAATATAAAAAAAATAACCAATCAGTAAAAAAATATAAAAGATAAAGAATATCTGATTATAAGAAATTACTTATATGTTCAGTAGAAAAAGAGCATTAAACTGGAGAAAGTATATAAATAGATAAAATTTAAAGACAATATTAAAGAAGAAAATTAAAGAAAAATTACAAGAAATACAAAAAGCACAAGAAGCACAAAAACAACAAAAAAGCACTTCAAAGTAAAGAAAATTTGATATTATAAAATTTTCAAAAGTTATATGGGCCATAGCAAAATCAATAAAAAAAAAAGATAATTATAAGCAAGAAGATTTGAATAAAAAGATAGAGGAAGAATTTAGTGAATAATAAACAAACAATTATTGAATAATTAATGAAAGATATGTGAATAATTATTTCAAATTTTATTTTTTTTATATTTTTAATAAATTTATTAAGTATTAATTAAATTTTGCCAAATATTATTATAAATGCAATTTTTTTATTGAAACTATATAATTTGATTTTATCAAATATATAATGCTAAATAATTTTGTCAACTTTATAGTTAAATAATAAAAATTTATTTCAAATGTTATAATTTTCATTATAGAATATTGTAATTTTATTATAGAATATTTTTTAATTAAAAATATTTTTTTTCCAAATGATTTTATCGCCAAATAATTATTTTATTGTCAAATGTTATATTTTTTTTGTCAAATTATTGTATATTTGTAAGTGCTGAATGGTATAAATTAGGTCAAACAACAAGACCTTAATATAAACTTTTATTAATAAATTTGAATTTAATTGGTTATAATTCAGCAGTCAAATAATATAATTTGGATTAGTGTTATTAATAATTTTCAAAATGTATTACTAGTCTAATATAATAATATTATTCTTATCACCTGTAATTAGAGCTTTAAAAAGTATTAAATTAATATAGAACTAATATTAAAATAATATTGATCTATAGTAAATTTAATATATGAATTGTAATCTATTTATATAAATTTATAATAAATAGTATTAAAGTAATATTGTTAGAAGCTTACTTATAATATTGATATTTTTACTTGAATTTTGATTTAATCTTATGTTGATTCTTACTAAGCTTAATTAATAAAAACAAAAATAATATTTAAGAAATAAATAATATCTTTATTATTATAATATAATTTATGAAAAAAACCTTTTTATGCTCTTTAGAATAAAATAAATTATTAAAAAGGTATTAGTTTTTCAAAATAAATAATTACATTTTTTTCTTAAAATTTTTATCAGAAATATATCTATTTATAGTAGTAAGCTGACACATATATAATATATCTTTGTATCTTAATATTAATCAAAAAAACTTGTTTGGAATTATAAACTTAACAATTTCAAATTTATATATCTTTACATGAACTTATACTACAAATATTTATGATACTTACTATTTGTAATCGTTGCTGACACAAAACTTAACACACCATTGATAATTAAATTTACTGAACAAATAATAACTAGAATGTGATTACTTTCTAAAAAAATATAAATAAATCAAATTAATTCTTTAATACAGTCATGAATATACTTGTACTAATAAAAAGCACCTTTTTTATAAATTTACCTAAAAGGATTGATGAAATATTCTTACTAGCCGCAATAGTAGTTAAAAGAATATAATTCAAATCAATAAAAACCATATTTGATACAAATAACTTAACAAATATCTATAAAATATATTCATCGGCTATAAAATAGTTGTTAAAGTAAAAAATTAATTAAACCACAAATATAAATAAAATATTTGCCTACTAAAGGAAAGAATAACTCGGATCAAATGGAAGCCTTAATAAGAATAAGAATTTACTCAATAATTACAATAATTATTAATAAATATGCTTATGAAAACGAGGAATATAACTCATATCAGTTAATATAGACTGTTCAATAAAGATTAATGAAGTGTGCATACTGTCAGTGATATTGGTTAATCGTTTTTTCGGCAAAATTTATTCTTGACCGCCGCGATAGCGATGCAATATAATACAACATTGTTTGTGTCTTAGAGACACGAAATCAAGTATAATTACTGGTAATATTATTGGTAAGACAAAGTCAGTTCAAAGGATGAATACTGTATGTAAAAACCGCGTATAGCATTTGATAATAATTGCCTACGCAAATGTATACTAAAAATTGATTAATCATTAAATGAATACAGTATTTTCTTAAACAAGATTACACATGTTTAATAATGTTTTTTTATTTTAGAAATACTGCATTTGATAATTACCTTTTTAAGTCATCTTGTTAATAAATTAGTGACTTCTAAATTTAGCAATATAGTAGAAATTCAACTTTGTTAAATTATCATTGAAGTACTAAAATATTAATTTTACTTGTGAAGTTTATTTTATACATATTATGAAATAAACATAATCCCAATTTTCATAAGATAATTAAGGTCAAGATGTTTAATTTTCTCTTTCATATTAATAACATAAAACCAAATTTCGGGGATACAAAACAAAACGAACTGTGATCTTTAATGTCAAACCAACTAAATAAAATACAAAGAGCCTGACAGGTCAAAACAATAAACCTTCGTTCTTGTTTGTAACCGGAAATAAGAGTATTGTTAAATTATGAATTAGAGCTACTTCGTTGTTAACGTCTTTTTATATCATGTACACATCCGTTAAGTTCTATGCCTACTAAGTAGAACATGTCTTTTCGATGCGAAAAGAGTTACTAATCAAGGGTCAACATGATGATCACAAAGTTAGGAATGAATAAACGTCTAACTACGGTACACCACAAGGGTGTAACAACCAAAAAAACAAAACAAAAGTATCTATACTAACTATAAGAACAGATCTTGCCTAAACTATGTATACTATTACATTCTTAAAATTCTTTCTCGTGTTTAATATCTTCAATTTTAATTCCGTCTTCTGGACTTTCGCTAATTGATGCCTTCTCTTTTTGATAGCATCGATGGCAAATAATGTCTAGAGAATTCCTTATTGAGATCCTGTCAGATCTTGGTAAATAAGGCCAGTTAGCAGGCCACCACTTTATCGTACGGGTTACCGAACAATGTAAGCATTTCTTGTCTGATGGACGTAATATGTTGTTTCTAATAAGTGCATCTTCAATTTTCAGCTTCATATCTTCAACTTTTTTCTTTTTATCTTTACTATTCTCTATTTCATCATCATTGCTTTCTTCACTACTATCATCGTCCGTAGTTGATAATTCATACCAGGCCTTTTGCGCTTCAATTTGTTTTTTAATGTGCTCTGGTATTGTCAGAGTGTATCTAGTTTTTAACTTGTACCCTCTTTTGGATAAGTCATATTTCTTATGTTTTTTGATGTATGCATACAGCGCAGACTAAATAAATAACAATGCTAGAATTAGATAATAGCACGCATTCAATCGCACAACGCAGCATTTAATAAAACCATAAACCACCTGATGCGATTGCGGATCTCGCGTGTTCATGGTCAAAAAACCTTCGGGTATACCATGATCATTGCAATAAACTTTACATATCATTTCTCCATTAAATCCATCATTTATATTTTGATTCATACCAACTATGTGATTATCCGGAGATTCTGATTTAGATTTGGATGATGAAGATGACGTCTTTGTAGCATCTGATCGTAATGAAACAGCATTTACTTCGAACCCTAAGTGACAACCAGCTTCCTGTGCGCAAGTTACATGGAAATATTTGTTGCAAGAACTAGAACATTGAATGCATGCACCGCCAGGTTTCTGACATATCGAACAGACCTACGTATGAACTTATTAATAAGCCTATATGAATCTTTGATAATAAATTGATTAACCGCACGTTAATTTACCACATTCCAACGTTGATCCTTTATATCTTCAACATCCATAATTAAAAAAACATTTTCGGGTTCATAAAATGATGTCTCTGGAATAAAAGTAGCACACAAGACGTGTGCCCAATTATTTCCGTTCGTTCTCTTCATTGCATTATTTTCCTTTTCTGAATGACTACAAAGAACACACTTTTTAACCTAAAATTTCCAACACAAACCATAATACAGTTAATATAATAGAGTTATCCCTGCTACTCTTATTTGGTGATCGAAACGTACTTTTATTGCATTGCGGATTCGTCCATTAAGACATGGATCGCAACGCCAACTTCTACCCATTGGTTTTCGATCGGATATTCCATAACAATCTAAGATGACAATTGATCATATCTATATTAATGTTCTTTTAAGGTAAAGGATGCTAATACACATATACCTGTGTGGACACATATTTGACAGCCAACACAAACCATAAGTGAGTATTGTGTGTTCATTGGATCAAAACCGCCGCAAATTTTACATGGATTCTGCGGTATTGGGATATCTGAGGGAGATTGTGGTTCTGTTGTCACATCCGTGTCCTCCTCAGTTTCATCTGATGATTCTGACTGTATCAATTGACGTTTGCGAGGATGAGCTGGAGTTTCTGGAGGCGATGGTGGTTCTTGCGTTTCACTATCTGTGTCTGACGATGAAGATAAAACCTCTGATATTTCTGTAAGAGAAGAAGTGCTCGATTTATGCGGAGATTGAGATTTGCGAGATGTCCGTACTCTTTTTACTGATGGACAAAATTCTGTAAGAGAACTCGAAGAAGATTCGTGATCCTCATCAGAAGCCTGAGAATCTCGTTTTCTTCTAACGCCTCTTCTAAATTCTGTTTCTGAGGATGATGAACAGATAAATTCTGCATAACTGGCCTGTTTCTCGTGTGCTAAAGTATCTTGGGACTTCTCTGTTGATTGTTGAAGAGAATTGGCATCCAAGGAAGAGTCATCTGTCGAGGCTCTTCGAACTCTTTTTGCTGGACGCCCAGAATGCTCCATTCTCACGTCGGTACTCGAGCTTGAATCCGAATTTGAAAACTCGTCTTTATTCTTGTTCGAATTCCCAGAAATCACATATGACATATATAAGCTTCGGCTTAGTCAGGGGAGGGAAGCGATATAAAAAAATTTTTTTGAAAAACAATGAACGTATGCCATGTGACTTTTCGGTACATTGTGGTACAAATGTATTACAGTATAACTCCAAATTTATATTATAACAATTGTTATAAAATATGCTGTGTCACGGTGATGTATATTATTGGAAAATCAGTAATTTTATAATCTATCAGGATTTACATCTGCTTATCTGTCGGTTTGTCGCCCGTACAATTAAAGAAAAATGAACGACTTTATAATGACAATTGATGACGAAGAGATCGTGGAAGGAGAAGTAAGCGAGGATGAATTCTCCGATGATCAGAAAAAAAAATCCAAGAAAAAAGACACGATCTCTAATGATGATGGCAGGGTCAAAAAGAACAAAGTATCGCAGAAAAATAATAAAAGAAATAATGGCACGCAAGAAAATGAAGTCGATCTTATGAATCCGAGTTTTACTTTCTATGATGCTTTGGCCTCGCATAACCACACTGAACATGAATGGGATTTTAAGGCTGCAAGAGCAGGATTAAAAGAGAAAACTTCTGTAAGTTACCATTTAACGAATTATTTAGCAAAGAACTAATTATTTTCATATTAGGTTCCTTCAAAGACGATTGATGAAATAATTGAAAGCAAACGCAAAGATATAAACAAATCTGAGAGATCGGTCGTTGAAAAACCCGAGAAAGGTATGAACACAGAGATTGCATGGACAGATCTCAAGCGGATGTTCTATTGCATGTGGCACTAATTGTGGGATAAATGTAAATCTAAGCAGAGGATGAGGATAAAGAAAATAACGATGAGGAGAGAACGAATAAAGATTTAACTTCAGAAGATGAAGACAAAATTCTCATGGATGAAGACGACGAAGATTTAGGTAAATTTTGTAAATTTACTATTTTGATATCAGTAATTTTTTTTTTTTTTTTTTACCATAACTATACTCATTTTTTCAATTTAGATGTTGATGGTTTTGGTGCTGGATCCCGGGAATTCTTTGATGATAACAACAATATAAGCGAAGACGAAACGGAGCAAGAAGAGATCAATTCTGAAGAAGATCGGAAGGAACAGAATAACAGTGATGACGATCACACTAGTAGTGATGATGAAGAAGAAACTGAATTTGAAAAACAGGTTTGAAGTTTTTTCGATGCCTTTTTTGTTGAGGCTAATAAATCATAAGATATATCCATTATTTATATAAGTTTAAACGGTTAGCGTAAGAAAGAGTATTTTGCTGATGAATCGGAGATAGTCCAAAGTGAAGTTGTTGAGTCGTTTCAAACAATGAATCTTTCACGCCCCATTCTCAAAGGCCTGAGCAAGTTGGGATTTATTCAGCCCACCATGATTCAAATGAAAACAATTCCTATAGCTCTTATGGGTAAAGATATTTGTGGAGGAGCAATAACTGGTTCAGGAAAAACTATAGCTTTTCTGGTCCCAATAATGGAACGTCTACTATACAGACCGAGAAAAACTCCTTCTGTGAGGGTATTAATTCTTGTACCGACGCGTGAATTGGCCTTGCAATGTCACAGTGTTTCGACTAGATTAGCAGTTTTCACCGATGTAACAAGCTGTCTGTGTATTGGTACGAGTTTAGTTGATTTTCTGTATTTTCTTATTTTATAATCACTTTAGTAAAGTGGACATTCGCAATCAGGTGGATTAAGTCTTAAAAAACAAGAAGTTGAACTCCGCACACGACCCGACATTATAATTGCTACTCCAGGGAGATTAATCGATCATGTACACAATTCACCGTCTTTCACATTGGATACCATTGAGATCCTGATAATCGATGAAGCCGATAGGTACGTCTATAGATGTATACATATTTTTTCTATCCGTTTAGCAATAAAACAAACCTTTTTTTAAATAAAGGATGTTAGAAGATGGTTTTTCGGATGAGTTGAACGAAATTGTCAAATGCTGTCCGAAATCAAGACAAACAATGTTATTCTCTGCGACTATGACGGATGATATTGATGATTTGATTCGACTCTCTCTAAACCGTCCTGTGAGACTCATGGTGGATTCGACCAAGGCAACAGCTGCGAAATTAATTCAAGAATTTATTCGAATAAGGGGGCACCGTGAAGAAGATCGAACTGCCATGTTGCTTGTGCTATGCAAGCAAATATATCATCATCGTGTTATAATATTTTTCAGGAGTAAGGCGATGGCTCACAATATGAAAATAACTTTTGGTTTATTGGGTTTAAAGGCCGCAGAATTGCACGGAAGTTTATCGCAAGAGCAAGTATGTCATTACAAGTTTGGATTACGCATGTTTCTATCACCTTGTATTTTTAATTCATCACTTAATGAATAATAGCGTTTGGAAGCCCTGGAAACATTTCGAGATGGAAAGGTTGATTTTTTACTGGCCACAGACTTGGCCTCACGCGGTTTAGATATAAAAGGAATTGATACCGTTATAAACTATGATATGCCACAAAGTTATAATCATTACATACATCGTGTTGGCCGAACAGCGCGTGCGGGACGCAATGGAAGGTATGTGAATTATTTAACGTTAATGATATTGGTCGAGAGTGTTTGATTTATTTACAGCCTTTTGTTAAACAGATCAGTAACTTTGACCGGCGAATCGGATCGTAAGATTCTAAAGTTGGTGATAAAAAATACACCCAGGGAACAGGTTAAGCGTCGTACACTTGACGTTAAAATGGTAGCAGAAATTCGGGCAAAACTTGATAAATTAAAAGATCAAGTCAAAGAAGTGCTGGAAGAGGAAAAAGAAGCAAAGATAATGAGACAGGCTGAAATGGAATTACAAAAAAATGAAAATCTTTTAATACACGAGAAGGAAATCTATAGTAGACCGGCAAGAACGTGGTTTCAAACCGAACAAAAAAAGCAACAATCGAAGAATGTCGCAACAGAACAATA